ATGCTGAGGCACTTTACTTGCATCTCGTCACTGACCCCTCCCAGTAAAGCTGTTCCTGTTATTGCTCCATTTTACAGATGGGAAAACTGAGACTCAGAGGATTCATTTGGTGTCCTGAGGTAGCAGGGGCCGATTCTGGAAGTGGGATCCAGCTCCTTGCTGGCTCTAGGATAGGGACCATGTCTTTGGGCTGGGGAAGCTCCTGGAGGCCAAAGGGGGAGCTGCGTGTCTGGTGGGCCTGAGTGTCTCTGGCTTCCCACAAGCGCTGGTCACTCCCTTGCTCACATACCCTGCATGGCTCCCATGGTTCCTCAATGGAGGCAGGGGCTCTGGGTGAACTTTTGCTGGGTCACCATAGAGACCCCTGAGCACAAAATCTAGCCCCCAGTCAACCTCTGGGGACTGTCTCATGTTCCTTTGCTGAGGACTGTGCCAACAACGGTCTCTCGTCCTCAGGTCTGGATAAATGCTGGCTGGCATGCAGGTGCTCAGTAACAAGCAAGAATGGGGCAAGGATTGGAGTTGGGGTGTCCCAGGCAGCCTAGATCGCCTCCCTAGGCTACTGCTTCCCCCCAGGGCTTTGAGGTAGTGTTGGGTGAGGGACATTAAAACTCCCCAAAACACCTAAATCAGGACCTCAATTGCCCCACCAAGGTCTGAGGGCCTCCAGACTTCCTCCAGGGCTCTGGTGTGGCAGACCCTGAGATGCCTCCTGGAGTCTTAGTGGAGCAGAGATCTTCACTGGGGATTGGTATGCAGCCTCACTAAGCACTGATAAAGGGGTCTTTGGAATTTCCATCTTGAAATTATGTGGAGGGCCTTGAAACTGCCTGTGGGGGACCTTCAAGTTGCCACAGCTCACCCAACTTGGGCCTGGACATACCTGTGCAACCTGGACTTGGGGAGCCCTCTAAATTTTCCCATGCACTGGCTCAGGGCATCTGAAAACTTTTACTAGGGCTTGGGCAAGGGGAGCCTCGAAATTCCCATGTGGGAGGGCCTCAAAACTCCCATTTGGAGGATCACACCCTTATCGGTGGCTTTGGGAATGTAGGAGGTTGTGGCTGTTCTTCAAGGTGGGAGACTGAGGTGCAGAGAGGTGGGAGGGAACCCTGAAAGGGGTTTGGACCTGAGCTCCTGAGCCTCTCTGACCCCAGGGTCTGGGGAGAGCAGCAACCTCACCATGGACAGAGCCCCAGTTTCCGACACTCCCCCTATCCCGGGTGACTCTGACGGACTCCCTGGAGATGGAGGAGGCTCAGGGTGGAAGCGGCCACACGTGCAGGAGCTTCCGGGGCGAAGGGGGGGGGGCCAGAATCTGGGGCACGGCCAAAGTCCCCAATATGGGGTGGGACCAGGGCTGTGTAGGGTCAGATGTCAGGTGAGGGGAGGAGCCAGAGTTAGGGTCACGAGTGTGGGGGTGCCGCAGGGAGGTCCAGAAAGGTGGTGGGTCAGGTGAGGGGTGGGGTCCAGGTGGGTAACACGTGCTTGCCTGCCCCAGGAGAGATCACGAAATTAAACTGGAAGCTTTGGGGGAAACTTTACAAGCTATGTTGCAGACACACACCGACATCCCCAGACCACAGCTCTCTTTACCTTTCAGCCCTCCCCAGGCCTTGCTTTGGTCCAGAAAATCCCCTCTGGCCAGGCAGTTATAAGGCCGAGAACCAGAGAGGGGCAGATTCACGGTCTCCAGGGACACTCAGCCTAGCTCCATCCCTGTGACTGGGCTGCAACTGGAGGCCCAGAGTGCAGCCGGGGCCAGGCCCACAGCTGCCAGAGTTGCCTCATCTTTACTCCAGAAGAGAATGAGGTGCCAGGCTGGAGAAACAATGGCCCCAATCCCTCAGGCGACCCTAGCCCTTGGCTGAGGTCCTAAGATGCTGGCTGGCCAGTGAGGAGGAGGTGGCTCAGAGGAGAAGAAAGCTGGGGAGGGGTCAGGGGGTTGGGAAGAGGGGGCATGGACTGGGAATAGAGGAGAGGGGTAGGGCAGTTAGCCAGGCAAAGCAAGGAAGAGAGGGTGCTCAGGCAGAGGGAATGACCGGTGCAAAGGCCCTGGGGTAGGAATGTACTTATGGGAGTGGTAGTGGGGGGGGCCAGTGAAGAGGGAGATGATGTCAAAGTCCGACCTTGTAGGGCCTGATGGGAGAGGAGGTGGGGTTGGATTTAGAGGGGAGGAAAACCAGTAAATGAATAGGTCTGGATCATTGTAAGATGCCCCCCCTGGTGGCACAGTGAAGAACCTGCAGGGAGGTGAGTTGGGTCCATCCTCTGGCAGTTCACAGAAAGTGTGGCAGCCTGAGTAAGGCAAAGCTTGGTCAGACGACAGGCCTCCTGTCTTCCTGTCTTGGTGTCCCCATAAGCAAAATGGGGACAAGATGACTTATAATTTACTTTAAAATTCAGGTCCTCTGGCTCCCCAACCTCAGGCTCTTACAGATTTGGATGTGTTTTGTGATGGAAAGTGCCATCTCTCTCTTTCCAAATTCTTCCTGTTCCAAAATAAGGACCCTTAAGGATCTGACAGCCCAGCACTGTGCCCCAACCAATAGGTGTCATGTGTGGGATCCACGCCCAGGCAGGGGCAGTTGCCCGTCAGGATCACACACCCCAGGTATCTGGCCACCACTTGAAAAACTCTAACTTAAAGCCTAGCCTTTTTTATTGCTAATCAATCCCAGATACTTTGCTAATTAATTAGCATCTCTGGTGGGAGGAGTGAGGTTAAGATGTGTGGATCAGGGAAGAAATTAGTGGCTCTCCTGTCCAGACACCTGACCGTAATGTAATCTTCATTTAACCTAAGTGACTTACCTTAGAGTCCCTGGTGTAGATCCCTCAGAGTAGCCTCCATGACTGGTGGACTCCTGGTGGGTTTTGTGTCCTGTTGCTTGGAACCCTGCCCTGGCCTCTGCCTCAGTGAATCTGTAGGGCCCCCAGAGGACAGAGCATGTCTTCCTAGGGCTCTGGACCAAGCAAGTGGAGATGTGATTTCATGGCTAGTGTCCACCCACATCCCAGAGTTGGCCCAGAACCCAGTTCCCCAGTCTGTCTCCCACCAAACTGGTTCACAAAAGCAAAACAAATCTATGAAAATATATGCAAATCACATGCAAATAATACACAAATACCACAATTTAAATGCAAACAAAGCATGCTATGCAAATTGTATACAAATAACCACATATGCAAATATCACTTGAGGGAAGGGGGCCTGGGTCAGGATAGGGCGGAGGTCCTCAGATGCATTACTAGGGATATGTTGAGTGTAACAGTAATGACAGAGGTCCCCGTTTCCTGCCTTGAGCCCAGTCCTTTATGTGGATCAGCCCTTGGACCCTACAGCCACAAGATGAGGGGGTTCTTACATCCCTGGAGCCCCAGCCCAGAAAAGGCAGGTAGGTCTCCAGGACTCCAGACCTCCAGCTCTTAGCTGTCTGCAGGATCTGTGGGCCACAGCGACCCCTGGTGGCCAGTGCCGGGACACAGTGCTGAACCTTGCACCTCACCCCAACCAACCATTACCTCCTCTTTGTGCTGTGGCCTCCAGTTCCCCTTCCTAGTGCACCTCCCTCAGGTGAAACCACTGATCACCCACCTCCAAGCTTCAGGTTAGTGGGGGAATAATGAGCAGGACTGGCTAAGGGGAGTAATCAGTCTCAAGGGCTCTGGCTCCCCTTCTTACACCAGCCATTTAGGGATTTTTTTTCTTTAAAGATTTTATTGGGGAATTGGGGAAGGGGAACAGTGTTGAGAAACTGGGGAACAGCCAAGTTGTTGTCCTTCAATCTCAGTTGTGGAGGGCGCAGCTAACTCAGGTCCAAATCCAGTTGCCATCCAGCCGCCTGTCGGCAGCTCGCAGCCACTAATCTCAAGGTGCCGTGTTTAATCTTAGTTGCGGGTGGGTGTAGCCCACCATCCCATGTGGTAGTTGAACTGGCAACCTTGTTGTTAGGAGCATGTGCTCTCACCAGCTGAGCCATCCTGCCACCTGTTAGCAGCTCAGCGGCAGCTCAGCTCGGGCACGGCTCGCGGGCCCATGTGGGAATCGAACTGGCGACCCTGTTGTTCAGAGCTCGTGCTCTTAACCAACTGAGCCACTCGGCCGGCCCCATTTAGGGATTTCTAAAATGCAAACTGCCCAAAGAGAAACAAGAGACTGTCTCCCACCAACCCCGAACCCCTGGTTCCCTCCCCAGAGGCCACAGCTGTGACCTGTGTTTTCTTCCAGATATATCTGGATAAAAGTCCCTCCCTGCAATGTAAAAAATGTACCCAAAGCGTAGCCTTCTTTACTCTTAACACTAATGTTGTAGAGAAAAGCCCCATCAGTCTTTCTAACAATTGTGTAGTATTCCACGGCATGGCTGGGCAACCACTGATTTAAACAGTCCCCAACTGACAGATGTTTGTTTTCAATTTGCACAAAATGTGACAAGAAATGCATCATTTTGCACTCATATCCATGTATCTGTAGAAAAATTCCTAGAAGAGGGAATTGGTGAGGGAAAGAGTGGGTACATTTTAAATATTAATAGATTCCAGAAAACTGCTATCTTGAGCAACTGTACCAGTGAGCAGTCCCACCAGCACTGCCTTCAGGCTCGCAGCCCTGGCTCTGCCAGTCTCTTAACTGGGGGCCTGGGACGCAGGTCAGGAAGCCTCCAAACCTCAGCGTCCTTGCCTGTTGCGTGGAAGCTCATGCCTGCAGGGCAGGCTCGGGGGTGCTAGGGTGGCTCCTTGGTGCTCCTGTAATCTTTACAGCTTGATTACTATCATGAGGCCACATTTTAGGTATTTTTAAATAGTGCAATACGAAATGTTAGTAAAATGCTCACTTATGTGCAGAATTTGACATTTCCTCAAACCTTCCAAGAGACCCAGCTTGAAGTCAGCGGCCAAGTTAACCACGATCTGCATTCACACCACGGCCAAAAGAGGGCATGCGTGTGCCAAAGGTGCAACAGTCTCATTTTCTTTGAGAACACCCCATCATGATCTTTAATAACATTTTAAGTGAAAATGGTAGAACTTGTATTAAAAAAACAAAACAATCCCCAGTAAAATTCAGAGCCCACAACAGACCAATCAAAACCGTATGTAATGATAACAATAGCAGGTATTGCTGGGTAAGTCGGCACACGAATGGATAAATGCATGGATGGGATCACAACTTGCTCAACTGGGCCGCGAGGACCCTGCACGGGTACTGTCAACTACTGCCAGACACAAATCTGGTGGTGAGCAATATCAAAATTAAAGTAAAAAATTTTAATGGGAGAGTTTCTGACAAGTCCTAGAAGAGACAATTCATAGTTTTGTCATAAAACTACTATTTAAAAACAACAACCACCAAACGGAGTTAGGAAGATGAACAGTGTCCCCGCCCATTTCAAATCTCAGCTGACGAGCAAGAGGAGGAGTAGTGTCCCAGGCAGCGGCTCAGGGAGCGCTGTCTGCTGTCAGTTCTGGGTTTCTGAGGTAATCAGCTGCACCATGCAGTAAAAACACCAATGCCGGCAAAACCATGGCAAGTCACGCTGTCCTCTTTTCTGCTCATGCTCCAAACTTAATTAGATGCATCTGAGCTGACACTGCGAGGATCTCCAGCAGGTGAAGCAGTCGACACGGAGGGGGTGGTCCTCTGCCAGCTTCCCCGGGCCTGAAAAGAGAGCAACAGAGCATCAGAGGGGTAGCCGGCAGACTGATGGCCTGTCTCACCCCCATTTCCCCAAGAACCACAAAAAGATGGGAGGGACGGAGGGGTCAGTCCTCAGTCACAGCCAGCCTCACTGCCTGCCCCATGAGCCACTCCACGGGGCTCTGGCAAAGAACTGATGTGGCATCTCAGGACAGCTGGGGGTTTCTACAGTCTGAGAGGGAGGGAGACTCAGGCCTGGAGCTGATGATGGTCCTGGAAACATCATGGCGAGATGCAGTGAGCGGGAAGAGACTCGGGGGGTCTGCCTGTAGTGCAGAGACGTCTTGGGCACACATGATCCTAGGATGTTTGTCCACAGCACCGCCCCTGCCCACCCAATAGAAAACACCCCTGGAAATGGCTCTTCTTGGGCAGTCTGCTCTGTGACAAGTCCTGTTTGCAGCCCATGAGAGCAGGGCTGTTTGTTCCCCTTCCCAACTCAGGCTTGGGGTTGGCTCCTGAACCAACCATTCTCAGGTGCCCAGATGTCACACCCTCCATGTGACCCCAAGGGCTCACCCCTCCGGACACTGCCTAAGACCAGGGCTGCTGTCATCGGGCAGCGCCTGCCACAGTGAACCTCTTCACCTTCCTCTCTCGCACGCTCTTTTACAGGCTGTGCCCTCCTGCTGGCCCACTACCCTACTCAACCCGTTAGGTCCCCCTTGCCTCAGTTATTTCCTCACATGGTGTCTCAAGGAGCTGCCACAGTGCTTGCACCTCAGAGGACAGTGTTGAGCAAATGCATCAAGAGACTTTCTTTTCAGGGCTGCCTCAGCACATGACATGGGGACACCAAGAGGCCGGTGCTGCTCCACCTTTCAGTCTGAGAGCAGCTGGGATGAGGGCACTTTCATCAGGGGGACACACTCTGCCCTTGGATGGACCCCGCAGGCCTGTGTTCCAGGAAGGTGGACATGAGTGGTAAGGGGAGATGTCCTCCCTGCAGGACAGGGAGGTGCCAGGCTGGTACTCAGGGGTGGGCCTGGGAGCCAAAGGGCAGCTCAGACATTCCTTGGGCACCCAGGGCGGAGGTGATAGCTCCCAGGCTGGGTGGCCCCAATCACTGAGATCTGCTCTCTGAAACAGCATCTGTGCCTGCTCAGGCAGGGGACCATCACAAGCTGGCAGGGATACGGGTGGCACAGGCAGGGGTGCTCACAGGGTGTGGTATCTGCACCAGGACCCCGACATTCCCACTTACTACATGATCATGGTCTAGGGAAGCCACATGGGGACTTAAGTAGCTCCGGACCTCCTGGGGAAGGTTCCAGGGTTAAGGGTAAGCCTTATCTGCCAGGGTCCCTGCTGGGACACTCACTCTGATTCATTCTCACACACCTGCACCCACTATGATAGAAGCGCTGAGCTCAGCCCAAGCACAGAGCTCCCTGCTTTGCCCAGGTGCCTGTTACAGGTAGTGGGGTTGCTATGGTGATGGGACATGCATCACTATTCTGAAGGCACCATCCCCTGTATCCCTAAGGACTGGGAGTAAATCAGTGGGGGGTCGACTCTGGCACGGCAGGGAACACCCATGTGAAGGAGACAGGCGGGCTGTGTAAGGCCTCCCTCAGCCTCCCATGGACACATCACTCCTGTGCCTGTGTAGCCTCTTCATGGTGATCCCGCATGTGGGGTCGGGCCCCTGTAACCATCGGTGGGAGGCTGGGAAGGCCCCAGGGACCACGTAAGGGATGGGCCTCCCCAATCTTGGCTGGCCGGGCACGCTGTCCAACACCCTAAGGAAGTTATGGAGGGTGAGTCCTGAGATGCCCCAGCTCCCTGGCACATTTTCTTCCCAGTCACCAAAGTAGATCTTCACTGTGGCCCAGCTGGGCACCAGCCAAGGGGGTGGCCAGGCTGGCAATGCCCAGGTACCGACAGGGTAGCGGGTCTGAGCCCAGCAGGGCTGCCTGCATGTCCCCATGGTCAGGGCATCAGGGCCTTGTCTGCCCGCCCCCACTCTTCTCACGGAGTAAAGATGCTCCCCGATAGGCAGGTGCCTTCCCCTCAACAGCCACCACTCAGCGGTTTTGGGGCCTCACACCCACCACTCAGTGGCTGTTGCCAGTTATTGAGTCCTGTTTTGGGCGGGGAGGGAAGGCCACAGGTCTTTGCACAGTAGGCCCCACAGAACTGTGCCCCCAGACGGCTCTGCCAACCTGCAGTCATCATGATGATGGATCTAGAGTGACCAACAGGCCTGCCTCGTTGCCAGGATCTCGGGAAAACCTTGCAGGGCTGAGAGGTGGCTGACAAGATGGTCTGTTCCAAGAACCCGCCACCCACCAGGGCTGCGTGTGTCTGCCCTGACACCAAGTCAGGAATCCTGAGGACATCCTTGGGGTTATGCTCTGAGACTCACCTGGGACCACAAGCCACCTCTCCCAGGGATGGGCCGGAGAGAGGCCAGTGTCTGCAGGGTGATAAGCGCATCCCCAGCACTGGCCAGTGGGAAGTGTTCGGAGGAACCTGGAAGAGGTGGGAGGAGTCAGGACAAGTGTTCCAGCCCCCAAAGCTGTAGCAACTCCTCAGGTGGGATCCATTGGCCCCTCGCCAGGAAGAGGCCGTTAACCGCAGGTACTACCCAGGAGTGGAGACATTTTGGTCCCCACAACACCAGCACAGCCTGAGGTATTTACTGACTTGATCAGGATCATTGCCATTGAGAATAGAAATCTCATGATTTAAATGAAGGAAAGAGGCACATGCAGGGACTAGTCCGGAGCGGGCTGTGTGGTCCTCTTACGATTCCCCACTTGCAGCTTAGTGGGCCCAGTTGCAAGGAAACTATGGTCCCTGGGCCAGGCGGCCTCACTTACCTGAGCTGGGTGTGGATGGGCAGCTGGCTTGGCTCCTTGGGCCTCCAGCTTCGGTGGTGTCTACCACCGTGTTAGCCGTGTAAATGGTTGCCTCTTCTTGAAACTTCCCCATGTTCTTTTTATACCGGATTCTTTTGTTGCCAAACCAATTGGAAACCTGTGGACACAGAGACAGAAGCTGTTGGAAGAGCTGACCCAGTGATGAGATGCTATGAACAGATGGCAGACTCCTTCTGAGGTGCCCCTGCTTCCACCACCCGGGAGGAACATCTTTGAGTGACAACATGTGAGAGGCCAGGACTGCGAAGGTGGTGCTGATTGAACCGTAGACACAGGGAAATGTCTGCAGTGGGCTGAGGACATCCTAGAGCTGGCATGTTTTACAGGAGAGGAACTATGCTGCCGAAGGTGCTGCTGGAAGAAAAACAGGCACACCTGTGACACGCTCAGAGCCGCAGGGGCAGGCGACAGATTAAATCCTGGACTTCTCTTTAGGGAAAGCCAGAGCCAGGGAGACATGCATCCTGAGCGCTGAGCTAAGCGCCTTGTCACCTGTGCCTGTGGTTTAATGCTCAGGGCCAGCTTGTGGGGAGGGGGCTGTCATCACACCCATTCTATAGGCCAGCAGTCTCTGTGCATGGAGGAAACCCTCCAGGCCAGGGCGTCCCCCAGAGGTTGCTCTCTGGGTGGGGCCATCCTGGGCACTGTTGGGTGTTGAGCAGCATCCCTGGCCCCCTGACCCCTCGGTCTTGACAAAGAAAATGCCCAGAATTGCCCGCGTAGGACCCTGAGCCAGCTCCTGCCTTCGAGAGTGGAGACATGCACAGCTGGAAATACCTCAAAACCCCAAAGTAGAGCAGCTGTCCCTGCAGTGAGATGTTTACACAGTTTAATGAACAGAAATAAACAGCTGAGTTACGGTGGCAGATTGTGGACCTTTTCTCCTTTAAAGTCCCTACATCCTGCTCTCAATGTTAACCATGAAAAGAGCACCTGAGTGTGCGCCCTGCTCCCCACACAGTGACCCCACCCTCCTCCTCTTGGTTCCCACTTATCTCCAAGGAATGTGCTGAAACGTCTTTGTGGAACTAAGTTTGCAGGCAAATGGCAGCAAGCAGTTGTCCGTGTTGAATTTGACTTGCATTTTAGAGGGACAAAGAGCAGACTTCCTGTGTGGGTGAGGAGGGGAGGCTGGCCCTCTTCCTGGGCTGATGGGCGGGTCCAGTGGTTGGGGAGAGCTGGTCCCTGGCCAAGGTCCACCCCCCCCCATGGGGAGTGCCCCAACATGGCACCTCACACAGGCATGGGTGCAGCATGGACACACAGATACCCTCTCCAATGGCTGTAGTTCGGAGCCACCAGCACTCCCTGTCCCGTCACTCTGGCCAAGCCGGCTGCAGCTGCCCAGGTCCCCCACTGCCTCCCATGCACAGGCTCCACTCTCCTGCCCCTTTCTCCCTCAGGCCTCCTCACCCGAGACGCAGCTGATTCTGTCCTGAAAATGTCTGTGGCCTCATCTGTGACACTCTTTGCCTAACGTTGCTCTCCCATCTCACTACCTTCTCATTCAGCAAGCCTTACGTCCTGCACAATATCGTACCCCAAATTTGCAACCCTTCCTCATCTGATTGTCGGTCATTTCAAGTTGTCCTGAGGCCTGGTGGACCCATCAAGGGGGGAGAAGCTTTCAGCACAGAATTCTGCTGCTGGTGGGTGGGGGTCTCAGGGCCTGGCCACGGAGTGGGAGTCACTGGAACGTGGCTGGTGTTTCTCAAAATTTTGTTTGCAATGAACCCTCTCCTCAGATAAAGTCTTAGACCCAAGACCCATCTGCTCTCTGGAGGCGCCGGGCCCTGAAGTGAACCTGGCTGGTCTTCAGATAGCTGCTCGTAGTGGTAAACGCATTGCCAGGCCTCACACTGCTTTTGGGGCCTTGGAGCCCCCACTTAAGGTCTGGCCTTGATGTTGAGGACACCAGGATAGTTCTGAGTAAGTGAAGTCAGGTGTGATTGAGACACCTGCAAGGTTTTGCTGCCTGCATGGCTGCTTGAGTGCCTGCATCATGAAGTCACAGCTGGACTTGGCCTGGGCTGGAGGGTAGTGGCTAAGGGTACAGGCACTGGAGGCCACCAGACTAGGCTGGAAACTTAGCCCCTCCAACCACACAGTGGGTGGAAGGGGCTGCCTCAGAGGGGGCCTCAGTAAGCCAGCATGAGGCAGCATCAACACCAGTCATCTTGGCTGACGGAGGCGGGGGTTGCCGTAACCACACCCCCGTTCACACACTCTCGCTGCCTGTGGGTGTGGCCTGGTCCTGCATCAAGCTGGTGGGCTGCCTGTCCTCATCGTTCCCACTTGAAAACCTTCTGAAATGCTTCTTGGGCTCTTACCTTAGCTCTCCCTCCCTCGCCTCCAATTCCACTTAGAAGACTATCAGGGTCTCCCGAGGTTGTCCAGGTCCCATCTCCCGTCTGCACCAGTATTCCCTATCTGGGGCCAGAGGTTGCCTGTCTTGTACTCCCATCACTCACACGGGACCATTTGAGAAGCAAACAAGCACGCATGCGCCTGACCTTACCCCAGTATGACTGAATTGGTACTTCAGCTCGAGAGCTGGTCTATCATAACAAGTGCAAATTTTGCTTCAAGTTCTTTTCCTTCTCCTAAGCTTATAACCCCACCTCTCTCATGCAACATAGCACATTCCTCTGATACAAAAATATTAAATAGTAAGGACTACAATTCACTGAGTTCCACAGGTTACACTCTGCCATCATCGCCTCAGGGCGTCCCCATGCCTGAGTCCCATAGCATGGAGCCGGACTCTGAGCCCCGTCAGGCTGACTCCGCTCCTGTCAGCCTGGACACTCGGGTCCTGCTCCACCCATCTAGTGAACCTCCCTCGGTGTCCTCCTCGCTGGACTTAACGTCCCTCCTGGTCTGGGTTCAGGGAAGCATGGCAGGAGAGGCCCGTCACCTGGGAGACTGTGATGCCGCCCTTCCTGGCCAGCTCTTGTTTAGCTTCCTCGCTGGGGTAAGGGTTGCTCAAATGGGAATAGAAGTATTCGTTCAGCACTTCTGTGGCATGCTTGCTGAAATTCCGCCGTTTACGCCTGCAAAGACAGAAACCTCAGCCAGGTTCATGCGCTGGGACTCTGTCAACGTCCCCTCATCCCCATCTATGATTACAGAGGTTATAAAAACAGCAGCCAACACGTCCAATCGCCTTCCAAAAAAGAGGCTGCGTGAGGGCTACACCCATAGCCGTGGCCAGAACCCCTGGCTGGGCCTGGAGGCCACCTGGGGAACTGAAACCCAAGCCAGCACTGACTCAGCTCCTCTTCCTAGGAGCTGACCCTGGAGTTGGGGGTGGTGGGCAGGGCCTGACCTGGCATCGAGGAACCGCGAGCGCAGGGTCATCACGGCCTCGCAGGTGCTCTGCTTCAGCTGCATCTGGATGGCGTTGAACTTGCCGTGGATGACACCAACCATGTGCTCCATTTCCTCGGGCAAGACGGGCCTCGTCCTGCTCTGCTCCCGGAGCAGGTTGGTGACGTGCGTGGTAAATTCACGGCAGGCCTGGGGCAGGGACACACATGCCAGCCAGTGACTACCTAGCAGGCTGGCTCAGGGCCCCACGGGGACCAGCCACCTGCCGCCCCCCTCGGCTCCCACACAGACTGGCTACGGAGAAGTGAGTGCAAAGGGCTTCCAGTAAAACCGGCACCTTTGCCATGAGACCGAGCACGTGAACTCCCTGGTCTGTGCCACAAAAGAAAGGCGATTAGCAGTCCACGTTTCGCTTTGACAAATGTGCATTCACATGATAGAAACTCTTCCATGCAGAAAGATCACCTGTTCATATTTCTCTAGCTCAGAGTGGTAAATCTGTCGGATCTGGGACAGCTTGGCCCTGTAGTCAGAGTGCTCAAGGCTATTGTCATTTGGACAGCCACCTGGTGTTGCTGTGCCGGCCGCCACCGCTGGTCCTCCTCTTCCTCGCTTCTCCGGCCTGGACACGCCCTCGGCCAGCAGCATGTTATCCAGCCTCATGAGCTGAGCGTCAGGGAGGCCCTCTTCCTGAATGCTCCGGATGCTTAACACTGGATAAGAGAAACCGGACCGAATCAGTGTCCGCTGTCTGAGCGAAAACAACCACAACAGACCGTCAGTACTGGCGCCACATCTGAACGTTCTTCCCAGAGACCGTGGGGAGGAGGAAGGCTTCCTTTGATCTGGCCACAGACACCGAGTTGCCCACTGTGACACCGTCCAGGAACCATGCTTAGGAGCACAGTCTGGGGGGACAGAGAGGCCATAGCTCAGTGCAGCTGTGAAGGCAGAACAAACCACCTGCAGCTGGGCCCACACAGGGGTGCCTGGGCAGGGTCAGGGTGGCACGGACACTGGAGAAGCCTGAAGCCCTGCGCTGTGTCTCCTGAAGCGAGAGGGCACATTGCAGACAGACACCCCACGCAGGTGTGGATACAAAGGTGAGCAGCAGCCTAGCATTGGTACAGGGCTGGGCTGCTATGTGCCTGGTGCGTCTGTTGTATGTGTGGAAAGAAGGTTGTTGCTATAAAGCCAGAGAAGAAAAGCCTGATCCAGGAGGTGCCAGAGAAGATGAACTAACCCACTGAGATTTTAAACAGAGAAATCAGACAATTGGCCCTGCAACTTGGAAAAGCCATCACAGATGGGCTGAGAGGGTGACTTGCTCAAGGGCAGGACCGGTGGGAAGGGGAGGTGGTGGGGACAGCTGCCACCATCCGGGTGGATGCAGGTCAGCTATACGGTAGCCAGAGAGACAGTCCCCAGGACCCGTGACCACTGGATGTGGTCATGAGGGAAAGGAAGAGGCCAGGGCGACACCCACATTTGCCCTCGATGGCGCGGCACTCTCTCAAACACAGCGCACAGAGCAGCAAGTGGGCAGGTGGAAAGGCCCTGCAGCCTAGTCTAAGCACAGGAATCCAGGTGGCTGCGAGGCAGCTGCTCACTGGGTCGGGCTGAGCTAACAAGTGGTGGGAGACAGGTTTTCACATGTCATCTGCATGTGGTGTGTTTGGGAAATCTGTACGTATCTCCCTGTACCTGCAGCTACACTTTCGGGAGGAATGCCAGAAAACTAACATTTCAGGGATGGGCAGAGGAGGAGATAGAGGGGAAACGATCAGGTAGGTTGAAGAAAAACCAGAAGCAGCCACAGAGGAATGAAACATGGGCTTAGTCATCGGGACAGTGCTAGCATGACACCGCATGAGCAGTGGGAGGGTTTGGTGGGGTAGAACCCAACTAGAATGTTCCAGATGAGTGTGGGAGCCAGGCAGCACTGGCAAGAGAGGCTGCTGCAGGGGCCACAGGACAAGGGTCAGGTCTGAGCAGGTGGTCCAGCGGGACCTGTGTTTTGTTTGCTTCTTCAGTGATAGAAGCAATGTTTGCAGAGAAAGGGACAGGTGGGAGATTGAGGTGGGGCACTTCCTGAGGTGACGAGGCAGGGGACTGGGAAGGAGGGGATGATGTCCATCTGGTTCTGGCTTTCCAAAAAGCAACGTTTAAAGTTCTTTCTTGGGAACAGTCTCTCTTAATGCTACAGCTACTAACTGACTTAAGTGCTCAAATAAAAATTGAGTTTAATCCTATTATTCACTTATTAATGACTTGTCCCTTTCTTGTTCCCTACAGAACAGATTTACCTTTTCTGTCAAAAACTCACTAGTGAGAACTGAAGGAGCACAAAAGATATCCTTGTAAGAATTTTCCTTACATGCAGGGACCCTCATTGGGTTGCCACGAGGCTCTTTCTGAAAGAACTAAAGGAAAGTGCCCCTTTTATCAGTTCCCCACTAGCCTTCCAGTGTCAAGCCTCTAACAACCTTACTTGATCTTCAAGAAGCACCAGAAGAAAATTTTAGTTCCCATGAGCCAGGAAAGCCCTCTCAGCTAGGACGGTGCTCACAGGCTGTGCACGTCCCCATCTGGTCCTCGCAGATGCTGGGAGGCAGCCCCAGCAGCTGGGCACTCCTGCACAGGCCACGAAGTCTGCTCCAGAGGTCACCAGCACGGTGAACTGGGAAGGCCGCCTCCCACCCTACCCCCAGTCGCCCTCCCCTCTCAGTTTCTCTGTTTTCACATCCTACTGATTCTACCTCTGCAATCAACCCACCATTCATCCCCTCCCTTCACGCTGTTCCTGGGCCCTTCCGCGCCACTCCTGTCCTGTCCTCCGTGACCCGCAGAGGAAAACCCTCTCTCTCTCCAATCCGTGGTGCACACCTACCGACGGCTTCCCAACGCCGTGTTTCCCACAACAGTCTTCTGTTCAATGACTTCAGCATCTCCCTGGCACCCACAGATAAGGCCTGGAGCCCGATACCTGGCACTCAAGGTCTGGCCTGACATCCTTCCAAATCCACCTACATGAATTTTCCCTCCACTGGGCCTTGCTCGGCCCTCTGACAGTACGCAGGTGCTTGGCTCCTGTTCCAGGCTGATTCAAGCAGCAACTCCCTGAGCCCAGGCTGGGGTCAAGTGTGGGCTGAGAGGGACAGTTCCTAGTCCCTCCCCACAGGGCCCCCAGCACGCCCTGACACCGGGGGTTGGAGAGGCCACCTCCACACCTTCCATTACAGCTTCAGTTCAGTTAGGGAAAAGAGTGGTCAAGGTTGGAACACACAGCTTAGTGAAGGTGTGTGTGGGGCATGGGCATGTGTGTTCATGCGTGTGTGCTCGTGGGCTGCTGGGCTGCTGTGGAGTGTGGCAATCTTTCTTTTATTCTTTTATTTATGCATCAGCAAGCATCTGAGCCCCCATCACAAGCTGGGGACCATACCAAAAAATAAGGAACTTATTGTTTTCAAAATGAAAATTCTCAAACAATGAAGTGAACACCTGAGGCTTTTCTTATTTCTCTTCTAGGGGTATGAACTGGTGCAGCCTTTCTTTTTTTCTTTCTTTTATTTTTAAAGTTTGTAGAAGGGGATAATTTTATTAGAGCAGAAGGTAACAGCTTTCAAAATAAGAGGGGATCCTGACTAAGGTGCCCTGGTGCAGCCTTTTTTGGAGGGCACTTTTGAACTGCTGATTAACAATGAAAAAGTCCTTTGATCTCCAAACTTCTGTCGTGAGACTTTCTCCCACAGGAACACTGACCCCTGTGAATGCTGCATTTATAGCACACACATGACCGTACTATTTATAACTATGAAAACCAGAAACTGCCCAGGTATCCATAAGCAGACCCATGCCTGTCATACCTCACAGTGTTTACCGAGCTTATGTCTTAAGGTGCTGTTATAACAAGCAGTCTCACACTACAAGTTTTATTTCTTTAAGGCTGTATAATTTTGCAATATGTATGTATATGAGTAAAAACAAAACACAAGAAAATAAATTACCCCATGCCTTGGTCACCACCACCAGTCACAGCTGTGGATAAGGCCATGCCAAGCACGTTGTTTGGGCTTCCTTTACTTCTCGCAGTGTTCTTTGCCCTCCGTCAACTGCCCCTACTGTGCATGTCCCTCGGTGCGGTGCATCTGTCCTCCCAGTGCACTGTCACTGGTCTAATTATGCCATTAGACACTCGTTACCTTCCATTACAACAAGCTAATTTCCGGTTGGCGGTTCCAGAGCACATGAGGTTGCGCTCCTCAGCTCCCCTAGGGCCCTCGGCAGCGGCAGGCGGCCTCAGGGACCAGGAGCTCAGCTCAGGGACACCATCTGTCGGAGGCACTCAGAAGAGGAGGTGGAAACTAAAACAAAGGCACCTCCCCAAACTGCCAGATTTCCTTCTGTTCCCAACTTACTGAGGGTGAAAAAACCCCCAGTAAACCAAACGAAGTAAAATAAAACTGTGATTATCAACACATTGTTTTTTGTAAGAAACAATAAGGAACTGCTACAGACTGGACTGTATCCACCCTGCCCTCCCCGCCTACCCCGCCCCAATTCACACGTAGAAGCCCTAACACCCGATATGATTGTATGAGGAGACAGGGCCCGTGAGGAGGTGATTAAAGTCAAATGAGGAGGTGATTATGAAGTCAAATGATGTCATACAGTTCGGGCCCTGATCTGTAGGACTGTTGCCTCCTGAGAAGATGAACAGAAACCTCTCCCCACCCCACCTCCTTGCGAGGGCACAGCGAGAAGGCAGCCATCTGCAAACCAGGAAGCGGGTCCTCACGAGGAATCAACCAGCTGGCTCCTGGATCTTAGACTCCCAGACTCCACAACTGTGAGAAAATAAATGTCTGATGTTTAAGCCGCCCAGTCTGTGTGGTATTTTGCTATGGCAGCCCGAGGAAACGAAGACAGGAATGTGACCCCAAGTTGTTTTTATTTTTCTCTTCTCACGGAACTAAGGTATGGCTATCCAGGGAGGGAGAAAGGCTCAGAGGGGAACCCTCCTTCGCCCTGACACCCCCATCTTGCCACCTGCCCCCGGGCCTGTACCCTCATCCCTTCAGGGGTGCCGGTGCTTAGCAGCAGGACAGTGCTCCGGCTTCCCCTGTGCTGGGGTGGAAGGCTGGGTGGGGCCACTCCAGCACCTCCAACTGCCCAGGAGGAAGTTTAAACCACTGCTGAGCACCGGAGGTGGCAGATGCTGTGCCTGGCGCCTCTGGACTGGCCCCTCTGATTAGCCACTTTCTGACCATATGACTGTAAACGCATCCCTGCAGCCAGCCCTTGGCTGGGGATGGGACTGAGGAAAGGAGAGGGTGTTTACTTAATCAGTAACCATGAGAACAATGAGCTTTCCTAAAATTTCCTTCTAAATTTCGTATACAAAATTTCCATGTGGGATAATCATGTATACGACCTACACAGTTTCAACACTAAAGATCAGTGATTATAGAAAACAGTGCCTGTTCTTTCTATATCCTCATAAAAATCACCTCCAAGTGTGCAAGTAGTTTTCTGACGCCAGGGGGCAGAGCAGCTCAACCCTGTCTTTCCTACACATTCCTTTCATTTGGTGTAAAACTGTGAGTCACCCTTACCCTAACGGAAACTTCTGATGCACCAGATGTACTTTTTACTCACTCCTCTGCCGATATAAGCTCCCCCACTTTTCTGAAGTTGGAGCATTGTTTCAAGG